TTGAATAACTATACTACTATATTGAATAATTATGTTCTACGTTCATCTGTTTACCGACCATTGAATAATAAAATGAACTTTACTAATTGTGTATACTGTTGACTCGATAATTCTAAGTGTCACTTAATGCCTGTTATTAATCCCTATGAAGAGTAATATATATTGAAGTGGTATCAGTTCATTTCAGTGTAAAATGCACAATCAGTTGGTTTCGTTAGTGTTATTGATAAATTGCAAACATTTACACAAATAAACCAAATTGGATGATGAATAATCATCGAAATTCTGCCAAGTTGTATTTTAAACTCTCTGTCCTCTGCAAAATAACCTCAACTTGGAATTTTCAAGGTCAAAGGACACATCATGCCGAGAATTGAAAGCAGACAACAAAAGAATGAACAGTGGTCGACTAAAGTTGGAAGGTCTAGCAACAGGTTGGTTTGATAATGCTGGCTGACGACCCACGTTCCATTGGGAATAACAGGCGTAGCTAAGAAAGTAAGCTATGCAGAGTAATGGATAAGAATATATATATTGGTAAAAAAAAATCATCGGCCTTTTGACATCCAGTCGAATCTCCGTAAACGTCCCTATCTTATTTCCGGCTATTTTCTCCTGGAAAAGGAACAAAATGTGCTTCATCAGGTGACAATAACTGAACACAATGTAAACTTATCACTAACTTTTAAAAGAAAACTTGAAACTGCTGAGATTTTGTTTTAAGATATATAAAAGTTAACTCTCTATCGGATTCAACAGTTTACTCATACAAGTATTTCAATCTCATGGGTACATTCCAAATGTTGAATTACATGAGATAATTTAATGCACAGTCTAAAGAACTTTATTACTAATAATCTAAAATGATGAATGTCAATTCTGCAAAAAGCTTCTAAGTACAAACAAATATTGATTTACTATACAGTAAAAAGAACTGCTGTTATCAAGTAAAGATTAGCAAACAGAAATATCTCTTATAATATCGTGTAACATGTAGATTGTCTTTATTTTACTTGAGTTACAACCGGGAAGTTATTTTCAACAACATAATTACTCATCAATCAATCCATTCATCTACAACTCAACACATGAGTAGAAAAAAAAGCCAAGAATCGATATTCCATTCAACCAATGTCGGAAGCGTATTCTGACAACTAAGTTAAATCCTAAGGAAGTTGTTCTGAATGACAACGAGAGCTCTTTTTAAGTACATAATCCAGTTCAGAGAGCCTAACAACACCAAAGGCTTACACCAATGGCTTCATATGTTTACAGGTTCGTTCGAAAATATAGTGGCTGATTATAATAAGTGAAATATATTGTATCGATTTTTGGTAATGCTTGGTTAAAATGTTTTTTTTTACTGCTATTGAAACAATTTGTGAATTATTGTAACAATTTATTCAGTAGCCTGTTAATCATTTAAATGTGTCACTAAAAATACGGAGCATACACTACAGTTATGTAATCTATTTTATTATGGTTGTTGACACGTAGATTGCCTTGATAAGTTTATTATTTTTAAATAAATGTTCATGTAGATTAGTGTAAAGCCTAATGACAGTCTAACTGAAAACCATATAATCCACTTATTTGTGTTGTAATAATATACTACTTAACTGACGACTATAAATTCAGAAGTAATTTATGCAAGACAACCAACTACAAACTAATCTTACGATAACCATTTTTAAATCATAGTTATGGCGACCAGTGTTTTTACACATTGAAATCATTATTCAATCATTGTCAGAGCATCAATAGAAACGGAGAAGTACAAAAAGGTCATTTCTTCCAGGTATGGGACTCATTAGCAGTGTACATCCACAACTCCTACACCTCTCAGGACTTGAAATCAGGACGTTTGGCTTTGCGCGCGAACGCCTAACACCTGGAGCACTGATGCGGCATTTGAATGTATTAATGTTTAACTCGGATCAACCTGGGAATTTTGCGTAACCTCAGCCATTTGTCTTCAAATCCTGCGAGTAGCAGGAGCCATGGATGCGCACTGCCACTGATGAGTGCCATAACAGGACGAAACGATCATCCAATGCTTCCAGGTTTCCAATGATGGTCTGACAACGATCGACTGATGATTTCAATATATGATAACCTTTATCTTGTTTTATGACAAATTCAGTCACCACTAACCAGTTAGGCACTTTTCTATTTGTAAACTTAAGTTTGAAAGTCATAATTAGAATTCTCTATTTTGATAATAGTTAGATATACATTCAACTTGTGAAATTCCTCCCATTATTCAATTGCCTTAAATTAGAATATACATTATTTGTTATGATTTTTTTTTAAATTTTGTTTACAACCATAGTTTAGTAAATAATATGAATTCAATTTTTTTCTCATCTAAGCGTATTGATTGAAAATACCTAGGCATATATATATATATATATATATATATATATATATATATATAATTCACTGTTTGTTATATGCATTTTTCGGATTATTGATTAGTTTAACTAACTTACCCTACTGAAAATCACAAAGTAAAAATTTACCCAGGTTGTCATCGAATTTTTTTTGAAAAATTATCAAAGCATCTGATGAAACTGTAAATATGTCCAAACTAAAGACTGAAGCAAATAGAATTCGGAATGCCAAAAATGAATTAGTACAAATAATTTATGAGTAAATTATTATGTACAACATTCGGAATTCAGTACATCAATTAATAACTTGTTTAAAATGATGATAGGTATCGGATTCAATTCCGATTGTGAAGATTGGACAGTAATATTCTGAAGTGTATAATTAGTGAGTTATTGTACAATTGAAGTACGCTTCTTGAATTTCATCTCTTGTCAATATCGGACAAAAGCGTTATCAAGATTATTGTTCTTTTATTGCGTTTTTTGATTGTGTTCAAGTGAACATTTTTTATTCTGGTCATTTAAGCTTCATGATTTATCGATTTACAACTAAAACCTATTTTCTGTCAATATATACAATAACCTTTCAGGGTTATGTGTACACTGTTATTACAAGAAATGTTTCAAGTTCAAACTAAGAAATTTTAAAAAAACTGTCAAGTAAATTCAAGTAAATCGATCACTTAAATTAATAACGCTTCTTTTTATTTATTCTCTTGGTAATTAATTTGTCAAAAGTAGTTAAAGTAGAATAGTTTATTACTTGTTTACAAACTTTGTTATAGTTCATAGTTCGTATTTTAACATTCACAAGTCATAAAATGCACTTAGTTAGACAAGCAGTCAAAACAAATAGATTCAGAACAGTTGTTCTTGTCCTAGTATAAATAGTAGTTTGTAAATACAACCTTATGGATTTTCTGATGTGTTAGGTGAAGTATTTGACCCTTAAGACAGTAGTTTATGCTGATACTTTAATAAACCCTTGATGATGTTGGAGTTTCTTTCAATGCTAATAGTTAGTAACTAGCCTTTACCATAAATGGTTAAATTCCTGTGATAACAGCCTCCCATTAGCTCTACATTAATTGACTTTTTTGATCAGTCAATTAACATAACATTATTATTCTATCATTACTGTTAGATGACGAAAGTGCATTACTCATGAATAATTTTATGAACAGGTAATCTTTACTGTAAACAGATTTCAGTTGTAAATAAACTGTTTGAAAATCACGTGAAGCCATAGTAAACAGTTTAGCTAATAAATTATTAACTAAACCGAACGAAGTTATCTTAGAATAGTAGGTCACTTCCTGACAAAGGATACCTTTATATTCATTCACATTATAACATTGAATGATCCTTATAAAATTTATCAAATGGATGTTGCTCTTGACTTGATTGGTTCTACAGATCTTAAATTCTTGTATAATACAATAATTGATAGCAATGTTAATTACTAAACAAAATCCGTTTCTCATTCAATGAGGGTGTCTTCTATTTTTTTTCTCAAGTAAATTTGAATGTTTCTGATAACTTCAAATGCTTTTGAGGAAAAAAATAACCCTTATTAAAATTATGTAACTATACAACTGCTGATGAGTCCCATACCAGGACGAAACGGCCGTCTTTCAATGCCTCCTGGTTTCTAATGGTGGTCTAGCAATGATTGATTGATGGTTTAAAATGTGTAAAAACACTAATCTCCATAACTCTAATTGGAAAGTTTAACTTATAATTAATTCAGTGTTCATTGTTCAATTTTTAAGTTATTCATTTTTCAATAGCTTTCTCTGGAAACAATGTTTTCTACTTAATCGGAATTAGTTAACAAAATAATTTATATAAGATTATATTAGTTTTACTTGTAAAAGTCATAACGAACAAATATTACACTGGCATAATACAATACACTGAATTAAAGCACGATCTCGGTTTTTATCTAGTTGAAGTATTTTGATTCTGTTAATGGCAAAGTCAATTTATTCGGCAAAAGTTTAGTAGTGCTTAATTTTGGGCTTTAGTTTAATTTCAGGAAAATGATCATCAATAATAATTCATGTACTTTCTGAATATTAACGTCTGATACTGTTTGTGACACAAAATTACTATCACAATGCAAATTATTTTCAAGGGTGTAGGTTTGTCACATTAACTCCACCTGGAGCCCCTCTGGGACTACTGCCCATCCCTAGCCGGGACGAAGGGGTATGGTTGGGTATGAGTTTAGCGACCTAACGTCGTATAAAAACTAAGTCACCAAAAAATATATGAAACTAGTCATTCTAACATCTACATTAGAATTCATTTAGAATCTTATGCTTTTTCACAAAACCTCTATTCTACACTACAATTTTTTTTTTGATCATGACAAAATATGTATGCTTACAAAAATGATTTAGAAATCAATTTGTGTAGTCTGTTTAAGATTCTAGAATCTTAAAAGAATTCACATTACATATCACCTATGCGTCGGAATCTGAATAAATATATAAGTGTAATCAAATATATTTCATAGGCTATCAAGTAAATAACATTTAAAACTATGCAATCCAAAAAGATTTTTGTTAGATAATTTAAAAAATACCATCTGAATGAACTTACCGACAAAATTGCGCTCAAAGTTCAACCCATAATCAATGCTTTATCGTGAGAAAAATATTCACAAAATGTTTTTTGTTTAGCAACAAAATAACGAATTTAAATTTAATTCTCCAATTTATTTTATTTATCCTTTTTTTATGTAATAGGGAGTAGTAATTAAAATGATCAATGAAATTTTTTTAAGAAATAAAATTAATTACTATTTAATTTTTGTATCCGTAAATTTCAATTTGTTTTATTAAAGTGCTTTCCTGTTTTTTACTGGTATTTAAAAATTGTCATATATGCCAAATTATGCATTGTATAAACCGTCGTCAAATTGATCTTGTCAGTGTATATTTTTATTTAACCAATCAAATTCGTTGACTGATTTTTTTTATGAATACATCTAAATGAACCAATCACAATTATTCTCAATGTAGTAAGTACATTGATTTACGACTTAGCTTAACCAATATTTCTATAGGAGAATTTCATTTTAATTTTTCTCAGGATATTATCTGTTTTTTTTTCTTGTTGTGTTTGATTAATCTTTTCACCTGATATTTTTGATTTTTAAGCGGTAATTCCTCTCTTATTGTCTTTTGTTTTATGAAGCAAAGTTTTCAATACATTTCTTTATTTAGATGACAAGTAAATGTTAATTACAAGGCGCCATTATCCAAATAAACTTAAAGAAACAGAGATTAGCGCAGCAAAAAAAAACAAACAGATTTGTTTCATTCAACGACTGACTATACAACATGCATTTTGTCAATATGGAACAATGTTGCATTTGCTCTTACAAAACATACACACCAACCTAACCCAACCCAACCATGTCACACACATTTCATACAAGAATTGTGGGTTGGAAATTTATGAGAAAAGACTAATTGTAATAGTATCAATAGTCAAGAATGTTAAGCATATGGAGAATACACTTGTTTAGATATATATTTGGTTCTGTAGTGAATGACAATTTTGTTGGATAATAAGAGCAGATAAACGGAATAAGTAAAACATTCAAAATTATTATTCTCTGATGGATTCTAATGTTTACTCTTATCGTGAATGTAGAAACAAGTAAATTTATAACAATTTTATATTTTCTTGATTGTAAGCTTTTATCTTACTTGATAACTGTACTACTGTTTTATGACCGTAAAAACGGCTTTTCTTGTGTCCTAATTGATTGATTAGGATTGAAGTAGGCATAATAAGTAGTTTAGAGATTGTGGAGAAAATTTTTAGCTCAGGTGGATGTTAATAGTGGCGTTTCGTTCTTTGAGATGGATGTTCTGGTTGTTGAGCGTTCATTTTCAGAAGCCCGACACTCAAGTCAGCCAGAAATCAACAAATACATCGATGTTGACGCTATTTATCAACCAGTCAGAAAACTCATAGGCAAACATTAGATCAAGAAACAAATCAAAGGGTAATACGATAAAATAAACGGTGCAAACAATGACAAGTTTAAGGTCAAAAACAACCAATCAAGACGGAGTTTAACAGAACAAACTACGTGTCAAACGTCGAGAAATCGAATAATTCACTTCTATCTAAAGTTTGTGCTGCTGATGATGTTGTTTAGAAGAACAATGAAAACTCCACAACCAAAACATCCAGCTAAATAGTTTAGAGGCTGTATTAAAGCACTAAGCACTAAAAAACTAAACAAACATGACATTGATTACTACTCGGTGAAAAATCAGTTACCAATATTTGATCTACATGGAATGTCGGAGGGAACGCAAATAGTTTTGAGGTAACCTCTCAATTGGTTGATTAAGTTTCAGATCTCGTAGAGAGTATCAGTCTTCAACAAGACTGTGGGTGCCCCCTGATGATTAACGTAGAATCTAGATATAGATTTCCTTGCCAACTGTCTACAACTATCTAGGATTGAATCGTTTGTACTTATGAATTCTATGAATGTAATAAATGTTCCACTGAACTTCAGTAAACCAACAAAACACGAAAAAATGAAATGCAGTTGTAAAATTCTGGGATGACCATAGTCAAACTGGAACAGTTTACAAAATTGCGAATTTTATATTGAACAGTGCATTATTCAAAACAAGTCAATAACTTCTTCATTACCTAGTTAGATTAAGTAAAAGGAGATTCGTGAAACAGTATTTTAATTTACCTTTCAACTTTGGAAGTTTGTATTAAATTTCTAAATATTCAATAACCTATTTCTGTAAGTTGCTAGTAAGACTGTAGTGAGTGCTTTCATGTCTAGCTCACAGGGCTCGTCCTACTTGTCAATCATTCATTCATATTTGCGTTGCTTCCATTCGTCTATGTGCACGCCTATCTCGCTTATTACATGCCTGGTTCATTTTTTGTAAAGATGGACTTTTACAATTTCCTCTTCATGAAAATCAAGCTTTTCTTAAATTCCCAACTCTTCTAACAATCTTCTTTCAGTTTTTTAGAATAACGACTGAGTTTTTTTAAATGTCATTTCATGTCTGCCGAGAACATAATAAATCCCACTGGTCATAAAACAGAATGCCTAATCGTTTCTAATAAAAAAAATAATTACATTAGGCCAGTTATAAAGCTTAACATTATATTATATTTTTCGTATGCAAATGAATGAAACATGTCTCAAGTTCTACTTTCATATTTAACAATTTTGCATATATTTCAACTAACTAATTTTACGCATAGTTCTCATTATATAATATCAGTGACATTTTAGTTCACAAAATAGTTCTCCTGAAAAGGGACACTGCCTAATAAAATTATATGACAAGTGCTTCTATCTGATGATTTGTGACATTTTTACTCTTTTCATTTATACAACCTAAAAAATTCATGAAAATATATTTCATTTTCCCAAGAACTAGTTTATTTCAGAGGCATGTATCAAAGAAAATAGGAAACTTTCAATGTACATCAACTTGTCACTAACTAACACTAGCAAAGACATTTTTTGTTAAACACACACACACACACACACACAAACATCAAAAATTTGTACTTTAGAACAGAACCGTCAAAATCTTGTCCTTTTTTATTGTTCGTTCACATGTTTGTGTTGTTTTAAAAAAAAACTTCAATGTTCATTTCAAGCTCGAATATATTTTGGATGATGAGTTAAAAATTCAATGTTTTGTGTTAGACAGCAATCAACCTCTAAATTCCTTTTTTACAGGTTACTTAGTATTCAACATTATTCAGTGGGATAAATCTGTAATTCTAGTAGACTAATTAATTATTGAAACATTTAATGTCACTCATTAGAAAATCACCAATTCATTCAACATATAGCATATCTCAAGGTCAAATTCAAATAACACTCATCGTCTCGGTGTGTACTCAAAAGTCTTCAAATGTCAAATTGACCCTATTAGAGTTCAGTTACATAACGATTACATGTTACTATATTAAGCACCCGAATGAATGCTTGAGTATGTACGTTAAAAGAAAGACGATTAGCAGCTAATTAGCTACTGAGTCAAGAGATATTTAAATTGAACATATTGAAATCAAGAATCAATCGTTGTTAGACCACCATTAGAAACCTGTCAGCAATGGATGGCCGTTTCGTCCTAGTATGAGACTATAGCACCTAACATATATCGTCAAGACGGAGATATACGGGAAGTCGAAGATAACGAAAGTTTAACGCCACAAGACTTGTCAGCAGTGTGCATACGCGACTAATGCTCGCAGGAATCGAACCCAGAACATTCGGTCACGAGCGCAAATTTTCGACCTCTGGAAGACTGAGAAGGTATCCAACGGTATTATTGTGCAATGCAAGGAAGAAATGGCCATCCAGTTCGAAGAAGATTCCAGAGGTGGATAGGATAAAGTTTACGAAAATTATCCAAGTGCATTGTAAAGCAAGCCCTTAAGGCGAAAAGAAAATAGGCAGACCAAACAGAACACATTCTGATGATAATTGGAATGAATGAACAGGACTTAACAAGAACTGGAAAAGAGAGATCAAGATACAGGGGAGTGGAAACCGTCGGTCAACGATCCTTGCCTCAAAAGGTGCAACAAGCGTTGGAAAACTGGTAAGTAAGTCAATAAACAGGTTAGCTAGTAAGTGAGTACAAGATCCAATCTACAGTACCAGCAAATCTGCATTATGACAGTCTATCGAGTCACAAGTTAAAACTTATGGATGTAATAGACTTTTTGAGAATTTTTAAGAAAGTTTAATAGTTTTCATTTTGTCTTACGTCAAATTTATTGTCATCAGCTTATTTTCTAAGTTGTTTTTTTTTCTACTTTTTCTCATTTACCAATTCTCTTTCTTCATGAACATGCATAATAGATAACTTTCCGTTTTGATCGATCATAATACAAGGTCATTCACAGTTGATTCGCTCACTTCCATATTGATTGAATATTATTTTTTTTTAAACATCTTTTTTTTCTTTCTATTTCTCGTCAATTTTTTACTTCATTTTTTGATTAATCTGTCATTTTATGATGAGCATTTAGTTTTTTTCTTTTTGATGAATATTTTGTATAAGAAATCATCATTTTCATGTATACGACATCTTAACATATATGTTGTATATATCGCCTAAGAGTGTATCATGTCTGAAACAAATGTTTGCAATATGAAGCAGTTGGTATTTTCAAATTCATTTCATGTATACTCATATATTTATTTATTCGATACGTGTTTATAGTCTGTAAATCATTCAAAAAGTACTTGGACTGGTACTTTGCTTTCAGTGGTAATGTTTATTTCGTTATGTAATGTTTTCCGCCCGATATCTTTCTCCTTCTAAATTAATCTCACTCAATTATACTTCTCGAATCATATCTTCGGTCCCTAATCTTCTCCATTACTGCGAATACTTCTACTATTGCTATCACTCTTTGATTTGAACTGAAAGTTGCGTCTGTGTGCTGATGTGGTATGGCGACCTGAACTGATGTACTTATGTACGAAGTTCTGCGTTGTATCTGTCTGTCGGCTTTTCGGCTCGATCGTAGTTTCAAAACAAACATATCTCTATGAATGCATAAGTGTAATTAATTATTTTACACAATATTTATAATTAGTAATAATAGATCTTTGTGAAATGTTCGATAAGCATTTCGTTATCTTCATTTTTCAATGTCAATCATTACAAATAAACACAAATCAGATGATTTAGAAATTCTTTAAAGTG